TTTTTTTTTTGTCAGTGAAGTTCTGCTTGTAAAAATGAAAGCTTCAGGGACTGGAGAGGTGGTTCAGCAAGCAGTTAAGAGCACTGACTGTTCTTGCAGAGGACCCAGGTTCAATTCCCAGCACCCACATGGCGGCTACGAACCGTCCTTAAGTTCAGGGGAATCAGATGCCCTCTTCTGACCTCTGCAGCATTGCACGACATGGGTGCACTCACATACATGCAGGCAATACACTCATACACATAAAAATAATAAATCAAATACTTTAAAAAATGAAAGCATTCTGCTGAGAGAGTTAAAAAAATAATGAAATTGATGTATCATGCTCAAGCATAGTAATGGAGTCATGTACAAGAAATTACCATTATTGCTGAAAACAAGCATTTTAAGCACAGACTATTATGTTTTTGTCATTTTCACCATCTCTTAAATCCACATAATACCGAAAAGAATCAGTATCAAATTTCTAGATTCACATGTATACAAATGTAAATTAATATGAGCTATAATATTGTGAAAATAGTTCTCATTTTCATGAGAACCATGAAACCATGGGCAACCAGAATGAATATTGTGCTAGTTTATGAACACCCCTGCAACTCTAAACTGGAACAGGAAGAGAAACAAGAAAATTGACACCACACACATTGTAGGGCAACAATACACTTTAATTCAAGAATTAATTGCCTGTGTGCTGACTTGAAGGAGCTGGCAAATTAATGAACTTACTTTCTTTTTTTTTAATTCTGTTTTAAATTTATTGTCTGTGTGTGTATATACACATGTCATGTGAATGCCCTTGGAGGCCAGAAGAAGGTGTCACATCCTCTGGAGTTGCAGTTACAGGCAGTTGTAAGCCATCAGATAGGGGTGGTGGGTACTGAACTCTGGACCTCTGGAAGAGCAGTATGTGCTCTTAATATCTAAGTCCTTTCCAGTCTCTTTTTTTTTTTTTTTTATCCACTCAAGCACTTCTGCTGATCAAATGCCCCTCATTCTAGAGTAGTGGCCATCTGTAGTGGTGGTAATAGCCATGACCACATGCATTACATAGTGTTAGGTGCAATTTTGTCTTGGTCTGTAGACACCAAGTAGAAAGGAGTTTCCCTGGGGCCTAGAGGATATTATTCCTGAAGCAGATATTCAGAGTTTCAGGTTCCCAGTTTTTAAGTGGGTTGTCCTCGTCTTCCACTTTTTCCTTCTTCTTTCTCCTACAAAAGTTTAATGGAGCTATAATCCACATAACATAAAATTCGCTCCTTTAAAGTAGCATCACAGATTATGCAATTGTCATCACAACGTCTAGACTATTTCATCACCCTCCCAAACATGCCGACACATCTGTTAGCAATTAGCAGCCACACCCTACATTGCCTCCAGTACCCAGCCCTTAATAACCACCCATGTCCCTTATATCTCTATGGGATTGCCATTTCAGTTCATTTCACAGAAATAGAACCATGCCATATTGACCAGTTGTGTCTTGCATCATTTTATTTAGCATGATGTCTTTTCTTCAGGGTCATCTGTGTTTTTGTACTTAATTCCTTATGGCTAAATAATATTCTGCTGTATGGATCTACATTTTTTTTATTCATCACTTATTGGCCATTTGGATTGTGTTTACTTTTGCTATTATGAATAATGCTCCTATGAGCTTTATACCCATTTCTTGTGGACATATTTTGAATTTTCTTGGGTCTGTATGTAGTTACATGCAGTAACTTGCATTGCATAATTTTGCAAGCCTACTAACTATATATGATGGCTCGGATATCTCTACCTACTTGTCAGCCTTTATCATTGTCATTTTGACTATCATAATGACTGAAGTGGTACCTGAGTGTGGTTTTGATTTGTACATTCTTAATTACAGTAATCATCCTTCCATGCACTTATTGCTGTTTGTAGATCTTATTTGGAGAAATAGTTCTTCAAGTGGTTTGTACTTTCTTTTGTATTAGACTTTTATGGAGGAGTTCAGATGTCTGGGAAAACTGAGAGACTAGTACAGGGTTTCCATATACTCACACCAATTTCCCGTTGGTAGTCATTGCATGTTACATTTCATCTGTTGAGTTGGCAAGCCAACTTTGACCTGCCATTATCCATGAAGTCTAGTTAATGCCTTAATTTTACGTGTCATCTTCTGTTCCAGTCACCACCACAGTGTTTACATGTTGCCTCTCCTTTGGCTTCTCTTGGCTGTGGCTGTTTCTGACATTCCTTGTGTGATGACTTTGGCAGTTTTGAAGTATACTGGTCAAAACTTTTGTAGGATGCAGACCACAGAAGTAAAGTAGCATGTGATTCATATTATTTTATCATAATAGTCAAGCAGAAGTATATTTTTAAATGTGTTCTCTGAGGTGGAAAGGTCAGCATTCTTAGGATATGGCAGCGTAGGGCTGGAGCACAGTGTGGGGTTGCCAGCACACCCCATATATTGGGTGGCTCACAACTGTCTGTAACTCCAGGTATAGGGGATCTGACACCCTCTTCTGGCCTCCATGGAAATTCTTGTACATGCACACACTTATACACACACACCACATCCACACATCCACACCCCCCCCACAACTACACACATACAAACAAGATAAATCTTTAAAAACATTATTGCAATAAAGCAAATGCAGTTGACTGGTATTAGAAAACAGCTGGAATAAAGCCTTCAAATTTAACCTTAGGAATCTGATTTCCAGGATTTTGTCCTAGTTAAGAATAAATACATGTGGGGCTGGAGAGATGGCTCAGCAGTTAAGAACACTGACTGTTCTTGCAGAAGACCCGGGTTCAAATCCCAGCACCCACATGGCAGCCAACAACTGTCGGTAACTCCAGTTCCAGGGGATCCGACAGCCTCTTCTGTCCTCTATGAGCATTGCATGACATGGGTGCACTTACCTACATGCCGGCATAACATTCATACACATAAAAATAATAAATAAAATATTTAAAAAAAGAGTAAACACATGCACAAGAACAAAAAAATTCCTGTGTCTCAGTGTAGTTAGTTCTCTCTGTAGCTGAGGCATAAAAATAGCGAATACTGGGGCTGGAGAGATGGCTCAGGAGTTATGAGCATGTATTGCTCTTGTAGAGAACCTGAGTCTGGTTCCTAGAGCCCTCATTAAGAGTGCTTACAACTGCCCATAACCCCAGCTCCAGAGGGATCTGATGCCTCTGACTTCCACAGGCACCTGCACTCACATGTACATACCCCACCCCAGGACAAACACATGCACAGAATTAAAAATAAAAACAAATCTTTTAAAAAGATGGTAGATGCTGCTGTGTCTATGTCCCTGAACAGAAGCTTGTCCTCTGTGAATATTCCTGATTCAAGACAGTGATGTTCAGTAGAGTAAGGGTAAAAGGAAGCAGGAAAGGGGATCCCAGCCAAATAGTGAATTGAATGTTTTCTCCTGAACATTTACTTTTTGCTGCTCATGTTCTTCCCTTAATAGAATTTGTGAGGAGGGATCATTTTGGACTGAGGGACACAAGCTGACTTAGAAGAAGTAGGATTTTCTCTCAGAAATTAAAAGTAACAGAAAAGTTGGCAGGGAGAAATGATTATATTAGGGGAAAAATTTGACATGATACACTTGTGACTTGGGGCAGTTTATGCACAATCTACTATTTTTTGTTCACAGGGAATAATTTGTGATGTTAGAGGAACATGTAAACCCAAGCATTCATACGTGGGCACCTTTACTGAGCTATAATTCACATGCATTCCAGTTGTTTCAAGTGAACAAGTAACACACAGGTTATTACACAGGAATAGGGTGTTATACAAAATATAAATCTCTTTAAAAGTGCAGAGCCTCCTTGTAGTAGGGTATTTATATACCTCAGAAATAAAAAATTAAATAATACTGTGATCAAATAATTAATAGCCTTTAAAGACATTTAATTACCTTCCACATTATTGTATGTGCTGTGTAAGTGCACCCATGTCACATTCCTCGGGAGATGTGAACAAACAGCTGCTTACCCCAGATAGGGAACCAATGACAGACCAAAGTAAGGATACCACTAAAGTCCAACTTGGTGAACGAATGAGTTTTATTACTGGAGTTACTTACCAGAACAGAAATGACTCAAAGACAGCCACATCACCAAAAGCCATGGGAAACACTAGCTTGGGTAACACCTCACAGAAGATGGAATCCTAGAACTCACTGCATGACTTGCACACAGCTCAACAGGTTGGAGAGTGTCTTCTGAGTGGCTCAGTGGGTGTGAGCCTCTTCTAAGCAGGTGGCTGGTCTCTGCCTCTTCTAGGCAGCTCAGCCTGAGTGTCTCAGCAGTCCTCAGTGCTTATATAAGCTTGGGGAAAGATGGACCTAATACATCTGGTCAGTTCCAGGACTTAGTGAAGCATTTGAATTGTTTAGTTCCTGAGCTTTGCTGCAGGACAGAATATTTTACCTCCTCCTAGAATATCCTGTGTCTTAATGAGCTTCTCTCCAAAATGGAAGGTTTTATCTCAGGGGAAACTGCTATACAACAGTATTAGCATACAGCTAACTTTGAAAAAACTGTTCATTCATTTATCTTGTGGTACATGGGATGGAACCCAAGACCTCTGCATGCTATGCAAGTGCTCTACTATTGAGTTACATCCCCAGACCATAAATGCATTTTTATAATATCCTTGCTCTAAGGAAGACAGTTAGAGACCTTTATTCCTCCAGAAGCTGAAACAGGGTTTAAAACTCCCATCTGCTTCTGTGATATTGACAGGGTTAATTTTGTGTTATTAATAAGTAAAATGGGGCTGTTTAAAGTTTTGAAACATAACTTCTCAAGCTTTGCCTGTGTAGTGAAAACTTTACAAATATGTTTTCTTTTCTGATTTTTAATTAATAAGTAGAAGTCATCCTCATGGTTGTATTTTTCATTATTGATGGCAATTTTTAGGTTTTAGCAGGTGATAATCATGCTTTTCCCCTTAATCCATATTTAGAAGCAAATGAGAAAACTAGGAGTCAAACAGAAAAGAATCAGCTTTATTACTGATAAAACTGGTTGGAAAGCAAGGTGGAGGTATGCAACCCAAGGTTTTCCTGAATCATGGTAAGTTTTAATCAAATGCAAAGTAACAGTGGCCTAAACTTGCAGGCTTCTCACCTACAAGGCCAGAGGTGTCAGATCAGGACTAGCAGCATTTTCTACAGTACCAGACATGCACAGTTCATTCTTGTTGATTTCCTCTGCCTGACCCTTTCCCAGGGTCATCTTGGAGTTTGGTTGACTGTCTCCAACTTCAGCCATCAAGAATGCATCCCAGTTTTCAGGAAGATATAGAAGGATGATACTTAAGGTCTCATTTTTGCTTATATCCTATTAGCTGGAATATAGTCACTTCCTACATCTAATTAGGAAAGCAAGTATTCTGGGAGAAAAGAGAATGTTGGACATTTTATAGTCTGGGCCACATTCCTGAGTCAAACTTTGGCACCCAGGCAGAGGCAAGGCTGGACAACCACTGGCCTCTTACAGACAAGAGCAAGCTGCTGACTACAAGGCAGACTTCCCTGAGGGTGGGTTGCTTACAAGAGGGGAGCACAGAAGCAGTTGAGCCCTGTATGCTTGGTTCCCTCTGATTCTGTGCACAGAGAGACCAGTGGGCAGGAACTTCCTTCCTAACCGGTGTCTTGCTTTTCTAAGTGGCAGTACAGTGAACTGTCATAGGGCAGGAAAGCAGCACACGACCTGGCACCACAGTGACAAGGCTTCCTTAGTTTCCCGTGATCTATCCTTTCTTTGTCTTTACTGCCCACTAGATTAAGAAATCTTCCTGAATAGTCATAAGAGAGTTCTTCTGCTGGCAAAATATCTTTGGCTGCAAAAAGTGCCAACTTAGGTACCATTGAGTCAATCCGGACAGGAATCATCAACAGGTTTGGCTCACAGGAATGACTGAGGAATCTTCCAATATTTCCTATGTAGGTAGGGTCGACAAAGGTTTCCATGACTTGCCCGTTATACACATGTTCCCTGATGGCAATGATGTAATTTGGGTCATGTGCTGTTTGTAAGTGAATCCTCCTCTGTACTTCAGAGAATCCTAAAACCTCCCCAGCATACTCACAGACAAATCTTCCTTTGGGTATCCATTCCAAGGTACGAAGTCCCCAGCCTTTTTTATCCGTCTGGAACACCTGGAGGTGGAACTGTAGACCCCTCTGGACCACTCTGTTTCTGCAGTTCTCACCACACAGGCACAGGGCATTGCATTCAAAAACAGGCTTGGCATACTCTGCTTCCAACCCTATGTCTCTAAGACACAAACTGTCATCATAGCTCTCCGCATGGCGAAGACAGGAGCAAGTGCCAGGGAGGCAGGGAGTTTCCATGCAGACACAGCCAGGAAAGGTTATTTGAGAGGGATCCATGTCTGCTCCAGGTCCAGCTACATGATCAGGAGTGTACTGTAAAAATCAGAAAATACCTGTTAGTATGGCATAGCATATATTTCATATGTATGTAACGTATGTGCAACTTGTGGTGTGGACATTCCCTATTTCCAATATATATATATATATATGACAAAACAAAACTGGCAAAACACAACACATTAAAAGAGTACCTGAAAATAGATATTTCCTATTTAAAAAGATTAATTTTAAAGATTTATTTTGATCTTTACTTATGTATATATGTGTGTCTGATGCCACATGTGTGCAGGTACCCTTGAAGGCCAGAAGAGGGTATTGAATCCCCTGGAACTGGTGGTGAGCCTCCTGATGTGGATTCTGGGAACCAAACTCTGGTCCTCTGCAAGAGCAGCAAGCCCTCTTATCCACTGAGCCATCTTTCCAGTCCCAGAAATTAACTTTTTTTTTTTTTTTTCGGTCTTTTTGAGACAGGGTCTCCCTGTAGCCCCAGCTGACCTGGAACTCACTATGTAGACCAGGCTGGCCTCGAACTCACAGAGATCTGCCTGCCTCTGCCTCCCAAGTACTGGGATTAAAGGCATGCACCACTATGCCTGGCTAGAAATAGGGCAGCCATTAAAGGCTAAGGCTAACAACTAAAACATTAAAGATTCGAATACCAGAAATTAACTTTTAGAATTAAATTTTTGTGGTCTTAAAGGAATAAGGATAATAGAAATTTATTCTATCTCCCCGCCCCCCATTTTCCTCCTCCACCTCTCCCCTCCTTCCATAAAGCCACCTCCCAACTTTATGTTCTTTTTTAAAAAAATAATCCACTAAGTCCATTCAGTGCTGCTCATATATACTTGAATGTGTGGCCATTCCCTGGAGCATGGGCAAACCTACACTCCCAAGAAGAATGATGCTGTCTCACCTAGCCACTCTTTTCTACCAAATAGCTCCTCAGTCAGGGGTAAGGCCTCTTGAGTTTTCCCCCGTCTATGCTGGATTTTGGTTGGCTTGATCTTCTGCAGGTTTTGCAGGTCACCCCTCCTGCTGTGAGTTCATGAGTGCAATAGTCATGTCGTGTCTGGAAGACAGCCTTTCACAGAGCTCCTCCCCATCCTCCAGCTCTTACATTCTTTCTGCCTCATCTTCTGCAATGTTTCCTGAGCCTTGGCAGGGCCAAGGGTTGATAATGATGTCCATATGGGGCTGAGCACTCACAGTCATTTACTGTACTTTGACCAAAACCAGCTGAATTTGATGTCTGGACATGGTTCAGTATTTTATCCTTAGCTTCTTATTTGTTTTACCTTTACCTGATAATGTACATATATACATGCATACATACATTTATTATGAATTAGTTTACTACTTTCTTGGGGTAAGAAAGTCATAAATGATTAATAAGTCAATTACAGAAATAATTCTAAAAGTGGGATTTATCAAATAGATATTAATAGTTAAATTTATTATAGATGTATCATACATGTAAAGAAATTCTGTTCTTATTAAATGACAAAGGGGCAATTTGATAATTTGGTGTTTTAAATGTACCTGTATTTCCAAAGTATTACATCTATAGATTATGGAAAATGAAAAAAAACCTCACATCCAAAGTGTCTATGTAAAACCTGATCCTGGTTATTTCTTCTCAGGTGTCAAGAAGTGTATTTTCAAACCCTGAAGATTAAAGTATCTCTTAGGGCTGGGAAGATGGCTCTGTTAGTACAGTACCTGCCACACAAGCATGAGGACCTGAGTTTTATCCACTAGAAAACATGTTTTTTTAAAAAAGTTGGGTGTGGTGGCATGTGCCTGTAATCCTAGCACTGTGGAGGTGAGGACAACATTCCCTGGCCAGCCAGTCTAGCTGAATTAGTGAGAGACCCTGTCTCAAAGAAAGAAGGTAGAAAGCAACTGAAGTTGATATCCATACCAACCTCTGGCCTCCACAAACACAAGGACACATGGGGACACATGGGGACACACGCACACACACACACACACACACACACACACACACACACACACACACACCCCTCTTAGGAACCTAACAAGCTTTCTGTCCATTTGTATATGGACCTTTATACCTGTCTCTTTCCAAAAAGGTCTTAATGAAATTTATAAAGAAGTAAATGAAACAAGGTAAAGCTGAGGGGTGCTATAGTTTGAATAACTATCCCTCAGAGGCCATGTGTTAAAGGCTTGGTTCCCAGCCTATGGTGTTACTGGGAGGTGGTAGAGCCTTTAAGAGGTGGAACCTAGCAGGATGGAGTCTGGTCACTGGGCACATGCCCTTAAAGAGGACATTGGGATCACAGTATTTCCCTGTGTCCTTTTTGCTTCTCTGCTGCCATGGGGTGAATAGCTTCCTCTACACACTCCCACCATGGTGCTCTGCTTCAGCACAGGCCCAAAAGAAATGGAGTCAATCAACCATGAACTGATACCTACAAAAGTGTGAGCCAAAATAAATCATTCATATATATGTATGTGTATATGTGTATATATATATGACATATAAGACATAAGACTGGACATCTGATTCTACTTGGGAGCAGTCATTTCAAAGACAGTGTATGATTAGATACAAGTCTTGTACTGTCTGTAAGGAACAACCTGACTGTTCAGAAGCAGCACTGACTTTTCTAGCATTGAGATAAGAAAGAAACTGCAGCAATGTGTCCTTCCAAACCATTGTTTTCTGGGAAACAGTCTTTATTCTGATTCTCAATAAAGGTGGCTGGCATGCCGCTGTGCCAACACATTTGGGTATGAGCGACTCTGCAAGGCACGAACTGCCTGCCTGGCTTTTCACTGGGGATAGATTTTAGTGTCCAGAGGGACACAGGAATTGCACATCTCTCAGTCTTCTGTTAACATGGTGTCTCCTGTCCCATTTTTAGGAAGGCACTGAACAGCATGTGGTAACATCCCCTGTGGAGGCTTGATGGAGCTATTGCAGTTCAGTGCAGAACCCTGTACTTTAAAAAGCACAGAGCTGGGGGAGGATCGGATCTCTGGTGAAAGATGAGGAAGGTGAGGAGTGGGTGTTGCAGGCACAGACCAATTCTTTGCTGAGAAAGTGATTCGGAGGTGGGAGTGAGAGCTTCTGCCATGTTGCTTAGCACTTTAGCTCAGCAGGGATATCCCACAGGGATAAAGAAGGCTCTGGAAAAGACACCCCTGTCCGTCAAATGCAGGGAGTGCTGTCTTACATAGATTTACTTCTGGCTTTTTAAAGATTCAGCACTGAAATGTAAGTGGTTATCTAGACATTTTCAGAAGTACCTGTAAAATGAAGATTTTACTATCTCTTGGTGAAACTTTTCATAAGGAATATTTTTAACTGATTAGTTCCTCAAGGCGTGCATACTTCTGATGTCCAGTATGAATCACTAAAGTAATTTTTTTCAACACACATGACTTCTTTTAAAATCGAGTCTGACAGTGCTTGCTTTAGCAGCACATATACTACAATCAAGTCTGATTACTGCAGTTTTATAACCAGGAGAGCATTTTATTATTTTACTAAAAATAGTTTTATTATTTCTACTTTAAATTTTAAAAAATCTTGGGAGAACCTACTATCTTTTTTTGAAAAATTTTCAATACTATTATATTTTATTCATTTTTCTATCTTGGACATTGAGCCTAGGGTCTCACATGTGCTAGGTAAGTTCTTAACTTTTGAGTTATAGCCCTAGTTCGGATCTAATTTTAAAAGATTAAAATCAGGAACTAGAGAGGTGGCTCAGCAGTTAAGGGCACTAATGCTCTTCAAGAGAACCTAGGTTCAATTTCCAGCACTCACATAGTGGCTAAAAACCATTTGTAACTCCAGTTCTAGGGGATGAAATGCCTTCTTCTCACCTCTGTGAGCACTGTACAACATGAGTGCACTTACATACATGCAGATAAAGCAATCATATACATAAAATAAATAAATAAAGGATTCTAAAATCATATCTGTTTTTTGGGGCTGGGGCTATAGGTCTGTGGTAGAGTCTTTTCCTAGCATGTGCAAAGCCATGGGTTTGGGTCCTACAAATTTTGAGACAGGGTAGGGGGAGAGATCCTTTAAAACATTCCATAGTTAAACTTGATATATAATATGACGAGCTGAGCTCCTTTATACAGGTTACAAATGGCAGCAAATTCCAAATGAGCTTCAGCTACCTTTGAAATGACAATGTAGACTTCTAGATAAGTTTTCAGTTTAACAAGAATATGTTTACGTATATTTAATGTTTCTACTTCATTATTTTTTTGTGGGGGGGGCATATGCCACAATGCACATGTGGAAGTCAGAGGACAACTTGTGGGAATAGGTTCTTTCCTTCCACTGTGTGGGTTCTGGGGATAGAACTCAGATTCCCAGCCTTGGCAGCAAGTACTTTTACCCACTGAGCCATCTCACTGGCCCAGAATA